AGGGCCCTCACTCACTAAGGGCTTTACGCTGGTGCTCGAGTTCACCGTGCTCGCCTTTCAACCACACCGAGGTTGTCTTCGTCTGCGCCAATCTTTCCAGTGAGTCACGGTATTTTTAGTGAGTGCTGTCCTCTCTAGGAATTTCCTCTGCTTTCTTCTGGTATCTCTGCATGGGCTGCTTCCCCTTCGTATATGTGTGGTTCAGTTCGGTCCAGTGTGCTCCAGCACTTGCAGGCCACGGAGTGCAGAGCGCTGGGCAACCTTGTTGCTCAGCGCAGCAAACCCACCACCTAATCCGCCTCCCCTTGTCTTCCCCTCTCCCTCTGTGTGTGTGTGTGCGCCAGGTGGCACCAAGGTGCTGGCAGGATACTTCCAGTCTGTGAGCACATGCAACAAGAGAACACCACTTAGTGGGTTTAGCCACCACTCTCATCACCACACCCCCCCCCCCCCCCTCTCTCTCTGTCTCTGTGCGATCTCTGTCTGTGCGACCTCTGTGTGTGCGTGCGCCAGGTGGCACCAAGGTGCTGGCTGGATACTTCCAGTCGGTGAGCACACGCAATGCGGGGTTCAACGTCATTGTGATCGCCCTCCTGCGCCCACCCATGCTGCTGCTTTACCTTGGCATGATGTGAGTGCATGGAGCATGATGTGAGTGCATGGAGCATGGTGGGAGTGCATGGAGCATGGTGGGAGTGCATGGAGCATGGTGGGAGTGCATGGAGCATGGTGGGAGTGCATGGAGCATGGTGGGAGTGCATGGAGCATGGTGGGAGTGCATGGAGCATGGTGGGAGTGCATGGAGCATGGTGCGAGCGCACGGAGCATGGTGCGAGTGCGTGGGAGCATGGTGTGAGTGCATGGAGCATGGTGCGAGTATGTGGATCAAGAGCATGAGTGGGAAGTATGCTGTCGGCAACTGTTATTCTGGTGTATGCTACTCCGTCCCCTTGTTACTTGGCAGTGCACCCCTTGTACAGCTTTCAGGCGCCTCATAGATTTCAGTCTCCTTCCATCTAATCTCACCCCCACTCCGTGCCCTTCCAACTATGTGGGTGAGAGGTACATGGCAGTGTCCTCTTTGTACAATTTTATGGTTCCTCGGATTTGATTCTTTTGCCATCTGACCTCCATTCTCGTCCCTCCCATGGCTGTGGGTAGCAGGTACGTGGCAGTGTACCCCTTGTACCTGACTCGGCAATCGTCACGGGAGCAGCGGGAGGTGTACGACAATGAGGACATCGGGGTCTTTTGGGAGGACCTGCAGGCAAGGGCTGGGGAGGGGGGGGAAGAGAAATGTGGGAATGTGTCATTTAGGCAGCTTAAAAGTGTACGACAATGAGGACATCGGGGTCTTCTGGGAGGACCTGCAGGCAAGAGGGGGGGGGAGGGTTTGGGGAGTGGCATGCGCTGTGAGGGATGGGGAGTGGCATGCGTTGTGAGGGATGGGGAGTGGCATGCGCTGGGTCTGCTTTTGAGTCGATTCGCATGTGCAGTGAGGGGCGGAGGACTTGTCCTTGCATGGAGCAGCTGGTTTTATGGTTTGGGGTTGATTTGTGAGGAGTTGGGAGGAGTGCAATGCGATTCCATGCTTTACAACCCAGCAACCATGCTGCTCTCCCTCTTCACTTGCCATGGCATTGTATGGCATTGTATGGCATATGGATCACATGGCATCACATGGCATCACATGGCATCACATGGTATCACATGGCATCACATGGCATCACATGGCATCACATGGCATCACATGCATCACATTCACATGGTATCACATGGCATCACATGGCATCACATGGCATCACATGGCATCACATGGTATCACATGGCATCACATGGCATCACATGGTATCACATGGCATCACATGGCATCACATGGCATCACATGGCATCACATGGCATCACATGGTATCACATGGTATTACATGGTATTACATGGAATGGCGTGGAATGGCGTGGAATGACGTGGAATGACTTGGGATGGAATGGGACGACATGGCTGGATAATTAACCATACACACAATCCTTTACACATGGCATCACCCTAAACACAAACCATGCTGGGGGGTGTGCTGGACTGGACCACAGGGTGTTTGCCCAGGGCAAGTGGCTCTTCCTGCAGTGGTCGGGAGGAGTGCAGTGCGATTCCATGCTTTCCAACCCAGAATCCGTGCCACTGTCCTCTCTCTCCACTTGCCATGGCATCACCTCGTGATCACAAACCCCAAACACAATCCCTGCAGGGGGGTGTGCTGGACCACGGGGTGTTGGCCCAGGGCAAGTGGCTCATTCCGAGTGGTTAGGAGGGGTGCAGTGCGATTTCACGCCTTCCAACCCAGCAAGCATGCCCACTTTCCTCTCTACACACAATCCCTGCAGGGGGGTGTGCTGGACCACGGGGTGTTGACCCAGGGCAAGTGGCTGATCCTGCGCGATGCGCCGCTGCTCTTCGTGGCGCTGCTGGTGATCTGCCTCATAGAGAGCGCCAACATCACCAGCGACATTGCCAACTTCAACATCTTCAACATCGCCTTTGAGCTCATCAGGTGTGCCTGTTTGATCAGGTGGGTGCAAACAGGTGCTTGGTCAGGTGCTTGGTCAGGTGCTTGGTCAGGTGCTTGGTTAGGTGCCGGTCATCTGCTTCATAGAGAGCAGCAACATCACCAACGACATTGCCAACTTCAACATCTTCAACATCGCCTTCGAGCTCATCAGGTGCGTGCTTGGTCATATGGGTGCGAACAGGTGTTTGGTCATATGTGTGTGAACAGGTGTTTGGTCATATGGGTGTGAACAGGTGTTTGGTCATATGGGTGTGAACAGGTGTTTGGTCATATGGGTGCAAACAGGTGTTTGGTCATATGTGTGTGAACAGGTGTTTGGTGAGGTGCTGATCATCTGCTTCATAGAGAGCGCCAACATCACCAACGACATCGCCAATTTCAACATCACCTTCGAGCTCATCAGGTGGGTGCTTGGTGAGGTGGGTGCGAACAGGTGCTTGGTCAGGTGGGTCCTTGGACGGGTGGGTGCTTGGTCAGGTGGGTCCTTGGACGGGTGGGTGCTTGGTCAGGTGGGTGCTTGGACGGGTGGGTGCTTGGTCAGGTGGGTGCTTGGACGGGTGGGTGCTTGGTCAGGTGCTGGTCATCTGTACATAGAGAGCGCCAGCATCACCAACGAGCCTGCTTGGTCATATGTGCCAGCTTGGTCACATGCGCCTGCTTGGTCACATGCGCCTGCTTGGTCACATGCGCCAGCTTGGTCATATGCACCTGCTTGGTCATATGTGCCTGCTTGGTCATATGTGCCTGCTTGGTCATATGCGCCAGCTTGGTCATATGAGCCAGCTTGGTCATATGCGCCAGCTTGGTCATATGCACCTGCTTGGTCATATGTGCCTGCTTGGTCATATGCGCCTGCTTGGTCATATGCGCCTGTTTGGTCATATGCGCTTGCTTGGTCATATGCGCCTGCTTGGTCATATGTGCCTGCTTGGTCATATGCGCCTGCTTGGTCAGGGGCGTGTTGTCAAGCCAAGCCAAGCCAGCTAGCCAGCGAGCCAACGATAAAGCACGTCGCACTAACCATAGTCTTGCCACCTGAATCGCCATTCACGCAAGAGCCGAACCTGCTTCCTTGGTGCTTACAAATCAACTCCCCCTCTTTTTGAGTCGACTCGAAAGCATGATTCAACTCTCCCTCGTCCTCCTGAAATCTCCATCCCTGTATGCGTTTTGCCTGGGGCAGTGGCTACGGCAACGTGGGCCTATCCCTGGGCTACACGTGTCCACCTGCAGCCGGCCCCTCCTGTGTCTCGCCGCCTTACAGCTTTTCAGGTGCGTTCCTCAGCTCAGCTTGGGGGGCAGCTGGGTAGGTGGGGGGGAAGGGGTGGGGGAAGGTGGGGAGGTGGGGGGACATGCTTACGGTATGCCTTGATGGGGCATCCGTAGAACTTGTAGATTCGTTCGACAGGGGGAACATGCATGGAGACGTGCACATCCAGGTGTGTGCTTGATCAGGTGTATGACATGCATGGAGACGTGCACATCCAGGTGTGTGCTTGATCAGGTGTATGACATGCATGGAGACGTGCACCCGTGCCTGCATACTAACGATGCAGTAAGGTTTCAATTCTCTTCTTTGCCCTTCTCCTGCTCCTCCCGCTCCCCCTGCTCCCCCTGTTCCCCCCGCTCCCCCTGTTCCCCCCGCTCCCCTCGCTCCTCCCGCTCCCCCCGCTCCCCCCCCCCGCTCCCCCCGCTCCCCCCGCTCCCCCCGCTCCCCCCGCTCCCCCCCCCGCTCCTCCCGCTCCTCCCCGCAGGTGTGTGGAGCCCGTGGTCCAAGCTGGTGCTGGTGCTGGTGATGCTGCTGGGCCGCCACCGAGGCCTGCCTGACAACATTGATGCCGCCATTTCCATCCCACACCGCAACCAGTTCTACCTTCAACCCACCAAACCTGCCGCACCTGCCGCTCCTGCCGCACCTGCTGCACCTGCCGCACCTGCTGCACCTGCCGCACCTGCCGCAGAAGGCTCGGGGGTGAGAGGGTGACTTGACATGATGACATTGACACATGGTGGTGCTTTCGGAAGAGCCACCACCACCCACCCACCACACCTCGGCTCGCTTGATCTGAGCTGTGGGTCGGAATGAGGACTTCTAAGAATAGATTAGGATGCGTGTCAAGTCTCGTGTCAAATCTCGTGTCGAGTCCAGTAAGACAGCAGAAGTCATAGTGGCTATGCCATGCAGAATGTGAAGGTAATAGTGTGAAATAAATGAACACATATGTAAGATGTATTATCTGTTCATATAGTCTACTATGTACCCCTTGGTGTCAAGAAGCTAGGTTAGGAGCTAGGCAGAGGAAAGTAGTGCGGTTTTAGGCCAGGAGAAAATGTAGAGAGAGTGATGGACTAGAAGTGACGGGTACAAGGGGGTTGTACCCTCTACAGTAGGATCCAGGATATGCAGTAAACCTACCTAGCCTAATACACACATATATATATATATAATATATATTGACAGTTGGCTCATAGCATTTCACACCTTGAATATGACGAGGCAACATCAACGACAAAAGGCGAGACTGGAAGAAAGTTCGTTCGTTTTCTACGAGCTATCTCAAACTCGTATTCTGGTGCATTAGGAATCTTCCCATGGTAGCGCTACACCTCCCATCCCATGCATGTCACTCATGGCAAACACACTCTCGCCACAAGGCACCTCCACAGAGCCTGCAGCAGGCATGCGTCCCCTTGCCACGCACTCATGCTGCCATGTGGAACATCGCACACCACACCCTCAACTCTTCTTGTCGGCTGACGCTGTCAGTGTCAGCAGCCTCAGTCCCCAGGTCTAGCCAGCAGCCCATCGTCGCAGCGCCACCCACTGGCCCTTAAAGCCTCACATAGACCGTCAAACCCCGCAGCCATGCGATCATACGACACATGGAGCACCTCCAGTCTACCAGCAGATGCAGTGCAGATGCTACATGATCACAGCATCCCCTGTTTGCCATGAAAACATGCCCCCACGCAGCACACCCCACACCACACCCTCATCTCTTCTTGTCTGCTGACGCCGTCAGCAGCCTCCAGTCCCCAGGTCTAGCCAGCAGCCCATCGTCGCACCGCCACCCACTTGCCCTCAAAGCCTCACAGAGCCCATCAAACCCCGCAGCCATGCGATCATACGACACATGGAGCACCTCCAGTTTGCCAGAGGATGCAAAGGCGGCTGCACGCGCCTGGACGTGTGTGCGTGCGTGGGCCGGGAGCGAGTGGATGGTGAGGCAGAGGGAGTGGGGGGAGAGTGTGCGGAGGTACGCTGCTTGTAGGGCAGCCCGGAGGAAATCGCGGGGGAGGGCGCCTTCTTTCAGCACCACCTGGGCATGGTGGGTGAGAAAGTAAGGACGAGGAGATACGAAGGGTTAGAGACAGGAGGAAATCGCGGCGGAGGGCTGCCTCTTTCAACACAACCTGGGAATGGTGGGTGAGGGAGTTGGAGGCAATGAAGGAATCCACATGCGATTAGAGACCGTAGGGGGCCCTCATAGCTCAACCTGGGTAGGTGAGAGAGCTGGGACCAGGAGAGAGCTGGGACGAGGAGAGAACCCACATGGGGCTAGAACTTAAAGGCAGTAGGATAGGAGGCCCTCGTAGCTCAAGCGGAGTGGGTGAGAGAGTTGGGACACGGAGGATATGTGGGTTAAGTGACTGTAGGAAATGATGGGTGTATTGAGAGGGGAAGGAAGTGGGTTAGAGGTTTAGATCCCAATCACCTGCAACTTCCCTGTTCTCTCATCCCTTCCCAGCAGGTACTTGTCCTGCTTCGAAACAGGTACCATGGCCAAGGTACTTGTCCCCTCGAAACATCTCCCCCATGGCCTCTGCCTCCCCCTCATTCACTTACACATAGAGGCAACACGCACCTGCATCTGCCCGGTTCTCTCGTCCCTTCCCAGCAGATACTTCTCCCCTCGGAACACGTCAGCCATGGCCTCTGCCTCGCTCTCTATGCGCGCTACTGTACCCTTCACCAAACCCACCCCTCCCTTTCCTTCCCCCCTCCTGCCCATCCCTCTTTTCCCCCAAGGCACCTACTCAATGGAAATGCACGCACCTGCATCTGCCCCGTTCTCTCGTCCCTTCTCAGCAGGTACTTCTCCCCTCGAAACATGTCAGCCATTTCCTCGGCCTCTCTCTTCCACACACACAGACGCACTCGCCCTTGTTCCCCCCTCAATCCTAGCCACAAGCACAGAGCACGCACCTGCATCTGCCCCGTTCTCTCGTCCCTTCCCAGTAGATACTTCTCCGCTCGAAACATCTCAGCCATCGCCTCGGCCTCCCTCTCTGTGTGCGCCACTGCGGCCAAGGGCACTCCGAACTCGATCCAAGACTCGCTGCCCGTGCCTGGGAGGGGCGGGGGTGATGCCTGGAATGGTCAGGGGGACAGGGTGGGGGGTGGGAGGGGGGGGGTGGAAGGGGCACAGGGTGGGGGGTGGGAGGGGGGGTTTGAGACCCTCTGTGTGCGCCACTGTGGCCAAGGGCACTCCGAAATTGATGCAAGACTCGCTGCCCGTGCCTGGGAGGGGCGGGGGAGAGGCCTGGAAAAGGAGAGAGAGGGAGTCGGCAGGAGAAGGGAATAGGTAGAAGGGACAAGGGAGGGAGAAGGGAGTCTAGTTTTGAGGAAATAGGTAGAAGGAAAAAGGGAGGGAGAAGGGAGAGGGTACTGAGTCGTGTCAAGAACCAGAGCTCCGAACTCGATCCAAGACTCGCAGCCCGTGCCAGGAAGGGGCGGGGGAGAGGCCTTGGATAAGGGAGGAGAGGGGGAAAGGGTGGGGGGAAAGAGAATAGGTCAGTTCTCCGCATGCACCACTCCTGCCAAGAGCACTCCGAACTCGATCCAAAACTCGCTGCCTGTGCCTGGGAGAGGTCCACGTGATGCCTGGGATGGGAGAGAGAGAGAGAAGGGAAGAGAGGAGAGGGAAGGGGAGAGGAGAGGGGGGGCGATGAGACATACCAAGAGCCAGTGCTGCCAAGGCTCGCACGCATGTTATCAACAAGCCTCGCACTTGCATGTAATCAACAAGCCTCGCACTTGCATGTAATCAACAAGCCTCGCACTTGCATGTAATCAACACACCTCGCACTTGCGTGTGCCACCATGCACCACCCATGTATGTGCCATTGAAGCGCGTGGCCCAAGAAAGACCAAGAATCAAAGATTCTGAGTCTTGATCCTTCGCCAAACCAACCAAAATATACAGGGTTACCACCAAAAGTCTGCGAAGGGGTGGAATCCTCCTACGACGTGAAGGGATTGGCTAAGCTTTTCCCACACCAGAGCGTGCGACGACGAGCGAGTCCCCCACTCCACAAACTATTTTTGAGGCGCCTCAAAAATAGACGAGCGAGTCCCCCACTCCACAAACTTACTCACCTGGCAAAACCAAGATCCATAATGTCTGGTTTCTTGGGACTACCGTCCATGGCGCCAGCAGGGCGCGTGGAACCTTTCCACCAGCGTAGCCAATAATGACTAGAGTCGAGCTAGTTTAGGGATCTAGCAGTGGAACCGCTGAGTGGCCTCCGATAATTGGCAGCACCATATCAGATAGGCGTTGGGAGAAGAGGCGACGGCGCATAGCAGCAGCGCAGCGGACACCCCCTTATATCGGGTCTCGACGGTTCTGCGAGCAACGGTGGGTTCCCATCACTCTCGAACCCCGAGCCCTAATCGCGGGGGGACTTTTGAGTCGACTCAAAAGTCACTTCTGCGAGCAACGGTGGGTTCCCATCACTCTCAAACCCTGAGCCCTAATCGCGGGGGGACTTTTGAGTCGACTCAAAAGTCACTTTCTGCGAGCAACGGTGGGTTCCCATCACTCTCGAACCCCGAGCCCTAATCGCGGGGGGACTTTTGAGTCGACTCAAAAGTCACTTCTGCGAGCAACGGTGGGTTCCCATCACTCTCGAATCCCGAGCCCTAATCGCGGGGGACGCGCGCTTACTCACCCTCCCTGTCGATTCCTGTTACGCCATCGATACTCTCTCTCCCGTCACTGACGCAAGGTCCCGTCGCATCTCTCACCTCCGTCGCACACTCTCTCTCCCTTCGCGCTTCTCTTCCCAGGGCAATTCTCTCTCTCTTCCGTCGAGCCTCTCCCTCCCCCTCGTCGCCCTTCTTCCCTACCCTCATGGGTACTTCTCCCTCCCCCACGTCAGTACTTCACCAGCCCCTCGGGGCCTTCTCCCTCCCCCACGTCAGTACTTCACCAGCCCCCTCGGCGGGCCTTCTCCCTCCCCCACGTCAGTACTTCACCAGCCCCCTCGGCGGGCCTTCTCCCTCCCCCACGTCAGTACTTCACCAGCCCCCTCGGCGGGCCTTCTCCCTCCCCCTCGTCAGTCCTTTTTTTTTCCGCTCTTCCGTACTTCTCCCTTGCCGTCGTCGCGCTTCTCCCTCCATTCGTCGCGCTTCTCCCCCCCCCCTCGTCGACACTTCACCCTCCCCCACGTTGGTATTTCCCTTTCCCCCTATCCTCCACGTTCCTTTCCTTTCGCTCTTTCCTAGTCCGCCGTGAAGCGATGGATAGGCGTGGGGGGGGGCAGCGATGGATAGGCGCAGGGGGAAGGAATGGGTAGGCGCTGGTATGAGGGAATAGCGAGAAGTCTCCTCCTCTCCCGCTCGACCCGTCTTCAATCCCCCCTCTCCTTCCCCCCAGTTTCCCCTCTCATCCCCTTCAGCTCCCCCTCTCTTTCCCCTCTGCTCCCCCTCCCTTTTCCTCCAGCCTCCTCAGAGTTTCCCCCTGTCCTCCTCTCCCTTCCCCCCTGTCCTCCTCTCCCTTCCCCCCTGTCCTCCTCTCCCTTTCCCCCTATCCTCCTCTCCCTTTCCCCCTATCCTCCTCTCCCTTTCCCCCTATCCTCCTCTCCCTTTCCCCCTATCCTCCTCTCCCTTTCCCCCTATCCTCCTCTCCCTTTCCCCCTATCCTCCTCTCCCTTTCCCCCTATCCTCCTCTCCCTTTCCCCCTATCCTCCTCTCCCTTTCCCCCTATCCTCCTCTCCCTTTCCCCCTATCCTCCTCTCCCTTTCCCCCTATCCTCCTCTCCCTTTCCCCCTATCCTCCTCTCCCTTTCCCCCTATCCTCCTCTCCCTTTCCCCCTATCCTCCTCTCCCTTTCCCCCTATCCTCCTCTCCCTTTCCCCCTATCCTCCTCTCCCTTTCCCCCTATCCTCCTCTCCCTTTCCCCCTATCCTCCTCTCCCTTCCCCCCTGTCCTCCCTCCGTTTCCCCCTGTGTTTCCTCTCAGCACCCCCTCTCTGTAACCGTTGTGAGTCCATACCCCTCAGCACCCCCTCGTTCCACCCAGGTCCCCCTCTCTATCCCCTCAGCTGCCCCGCTCTCTCCCCGTCGCAGGGGGGAACCCCTTGGCAGGTCCCTTCCCCGTCGCTAGTCCTCTGCGGGCATTCTCAACCCCTTCTCCCACCCTGGCGCCTCTGGCATCTCCTGGTGTTCATTCCAGACCCTGGCTCCCACAGCCTCAGCTCCCCCTCTCTGTCCGCCCTCCTCTGCCTCTCCTCTGCCTCTTCTCCCCTCAGCTCCCCGTCTCTTTCCCCTCGCCCGTCTCATCCTCCCCCCGTTTTCATCACGCCCCTTGCTTACCTTCCCCCCACCTGCTCGCCTTCTTTCCCCCTTCACCTTGTGACTGTACAGGGCAAGGATGTCGAGTCAGGGGGCAGGACCTTAGGGCTGTCCTCGGCGTGCAAATGAGTACTGTCTATATACGCCCTAGAACTAAACACCTTGTGTAGTTTTTGTTATTCCTGTGTTTTGCATACTACTCGACACAGCGTGTTGTAATCTGGGTGCTGCTAAAATATTATATTGTTTGATTCCTATTTTGTTGCGTTGTTATACCACGTACTGGGTTAGGGAAATTGCTGTGTTATAAGATTAGCGTATTATCCATACAAAGTGTTACACGGTCAGAGCAGGTTCAGGGCGGGACGCGTTCGGGACTGTTCCGTCTCAATTTTGGTTTCGGGAAATGGGTATTTTTCGCACGCGGTTTATGCCTTACGTGGTTGGTCCGTCGAACCCGATATCAATTTGAGGAGCGTTTGGTTCGTCCTTTGAACACGCCCCTTTCCGTGCTGCCACTCCGTGCTTTCTCTCGTCGCCAAGCGTGGCTCTGCCCTCGCTGGCGACGCCTGGTCCTTTCGTCCCTCTCCTGTGGCTTCGTCTGTTCCGCTGTACCCTGGCGAATTTCGCTAACCCGACCAAGAATCAAAGACTTTGAATCTGGGTCTTTCTTGGGCCACGTGCTTTAAGAGGTGTGTACCGTTAAGGTGTGTACCATTAAGGTGTGTACCATTAAGGTGTGTACCCCACATGGACCCCACGTGTACCCCATATACTCCACATGTAGTATCCCACACCACATGTACCCATGTATCCCACACGTAGTATCCCACACCACATGTACCCATGTATCCCACATGTAGTATCCCACACCACATGTACCCATGTATCCCACACGTAGTATCCCACACCACATGTACCCATGTATCCCACACGTAGTATCCCACACCACATGTACCCATGTATCCCACACGTAGTATCCCACACCACATGTACCCATGTATCCCACACGTAGTATCCCACACCACATGTACCCATGTATCCCACACGTAGTATCCCACACCACATGTACCCATGTATCCCACACGTAGTATCCCACACCACATGTACCCATGTATCCCACACGTACCCCACATTCTCCACATGTACCTTGGGCGAGAAGATGGTTTTGAGGGAGATGGGTGGCAAAATGGGTTCTTGGGAGTTCACTGCGATGACACCTGGCACTCTGCCATTGGTCGCGTACTCGGCCAGGACGATATCTGGGAACAGGCATAGGAGGGAAGTGGGGGGGAGGGGGGGGGGGGGAGGACATAGGAAGAAGCAGCTGAGAGGGAAACAGCATTAGGAGACACAGTCAAGCAACAACAGGAAAGATAGTCAAATATTTGTGTTGGAAGGTTAACAAGGTTTACAGGCACTGACGACAGAAAAGAATTGCAGCTGAACGGTCTTGTAGGAGGGGTAGTCGTAGTAGAGGTGGTTGGTTGGAGGAGAACACTTGAGTGCATCAAGGCAGATAGGAGCATTTTAGGTTGCATCTGTGATGCTCTTGCTGCTTACCTGCCCAGAAAGGGTTCAAGGTGCGCAGCTGCACGGCCTTTTAGGAGCGGTGGTTGCAGTAGAGGTGGGAGGAGGAGAGCAGGAGATTACCACAGCAGGGATCCCAAAGAGCCCACATGCTTACACCTGCGCCCCCTGACACGGCTTACCCGCTCTGAAGGGGTTCAAGGTGCGCAGCTGCACGGCCTTGCAAGAGCAGTAGTTGCAGTAGAGCTGGGAGGCGGAAAGCACCGATGTGCATCAAGGCCAGTGGCCCAGTGTGATGTCAGTGGTGCTTACCCGCTCTGAAGGGGTTCAAGGTGCGCAGCTGCACAGCTTTATAGGAGCGGTAGTTGCAGTAGAGGTGGGAGGCCGAGAGCAGGATGTGCGTCAGCCAGAGCAGCGGCCCCTTGGTGCCCACATGCGGTGCGATGGCAATCCCAAGGGCCATGCCCAGTGTCTTGCTCACCATGCCCTGCGCCTCTGCCCTAGCAAGCACCTGAAGGTACATGAGGGGCGAGAAAGGGTGCAGAGGGGAGGGTAGTCAAAAGTGGTGCAGAAGACACCCCAAGGGCCATGGCCAGCGTCTTGCTCACCATGCTCTGCGCCTCTGCTCGTGCCAGAACCTGGGGAAAAGGGTAGCGGAAAAGGGGAAGAAAAAGGGGAAGAAAAGGGGAAGAAAAGGGGAAGAAAAGGGGAGGAAAGGGGGAAGAAAAGGGGAGGAAAAGTGGCATATGCAGTGCGATGGCAATGCCTAGAGCCATGCCCTAGCGTCTTGCTCGCTATGCCCTGTGCCTCTGCTCGAGCGAGCACCTGGGTAGGAGGAAAAGGAAGGAAACAGAGTGAAGTCACAAGAGGAGCGATGGCAATGCCAAGGGCCATTTCTACTGTCTTGCTCACCATGCCCTGCGCCTCTGCTTGTGCGAGCCCCTGAGGAGAGGGGGGATGGGGCGGTTGCGGACAAGGGGGAAGAAATGTCAAAGAGTTAAGACATTGGACCCTATGACCAAGCGGGGCAACTCCAATGGCCACACCTAGACTCTTTCCCACCCATCCTTGAGCCATCCCCAAGGAGCCATCCCCAAGAGGGACAAACACCCACAAGTCATGCGTGCTCTGCATCTCGCCTTGACACAGTTTCTTCTGCTCGCGCCGGCCCAGCGTAAAACCTATTCTGCATGGCTCTTTGCACAAGGCTCGACGACGAAAGCCTCGCCCGGGCCGCGGCGGCCAGTTGGACGAAGTACTGCGGGAAGGCGGCAGAGAGGAGCTCGAGGGAAGCGATACCCTATCCTCGCCCACCTGCCTGCACCAGCTCTCACCTGCCCGAACTGGTTATCACCTGTCCAAGGAAGGGCGGCATCTCACCTCTGCGAAGTTTCTTCTGCCTGCCAGCCCGGCATAAAACCGATTCCTCGTGGCGCTTTGCACAAGACTCGACGCAGAAAACCCTGCCCCGGCTGCAGCGGCCAGCTGGACGAAGTACTGCGGGAAGGTGGCAGTGAGGAGCTCGAGGGAGGCGGAGAGGTTCTCCCCGAGGTCAGCCAGCAGGCGCCAGCGCTTGGGCGACACGTCGAAGCGGCGGCCGAATTGCGAGAGAGTGACCTTGGCTGCGTAGCCTAAGCCGTCCTTGAGCACCCAGTTGACCGCCGCCGCTGCTGGAATGGCGCCCTTCCCAAGCCCCACTGCATACAGCATTGCCTGCTTGGCGAGAGGGAGAGGAGAGAGCAAGAAGGTGTTTAGGCTGAACTAGAAAACAGTGGCCTTGGCTGCGTAGCCCAGGCCGTCTTTGAGCACCCAGTTGACGGCCGCTGCTCCTGGAATGGCGCCTTCACCGAGGCCTACTGCATACAGCATTGCCTGCAGAGGAGAGGGATAAGAAAGAGCAGAACGATTCGAAGAGGGAGAGAGGGACGTTGGCAGCAGTTGATGGCTGCTGCTGCCGGGATGGGCAAGGCTATGCTGTATGCTGTCCTTGCCTAGCCGGCATACAGCATCGTCTGTGCCGGGGTGGGAAGAGAGAGGCTGCAGTGTGAGGGGGAGAGCGGGGAAGGGAAGGAGGAGAGCATGCATGGAGCTGTTGAGGTGGAAGGCGAGGAAGTGCGTGCAAACCTCGCGGTTAGAAGCATCCCCTCTCACCTGCGTAGCAAGCACCTTCTCTCACCTGCGTTGTAAGCACGTGGTTCATTTCACTCGCCACTGTTTGCCGCATGCGCCACAGTGTGTACTCCATATAGTCAGGCGTCACACTATCCGGATAACCCTCTGGTAACATCCACCGCCCCACCGCCGCTTTCACTCCCCTCACCGCGCGCGCCACCATATCCCTCCCCCTGCTCTGCTCCTCCCCCCCTCTAAAACCCTAACTCCTGAACCCTTCCCCTTGGCGTCCCCAGTGCCTGTAACGATCCCCTCTATAACGCGTCCGTGTTCCTCCTCGTACGCGTTAGCAGCTTCCTCACCCTCCACTTCAACTTCCACTACTAGCTGGTCCTTCCCCCCGCTGCTGCCTGCACTGCTGCTGTCTCCGCCAATCAGGCGCCGCCACCTGTCACCATGCAGCTCCCAGATCACCTCCTGATCACTGGCGGGCGCGGAAGCCCCAAGGGGAGGCGCAGGGCGGCGGAGAAGCGCGGATTCCGCGCGGGCGAGCGGGGAGAGGAGCAGGGGGAGCGTGATAAGGAGGAATGCGGAGAGTGATAATGCGCTGGGGAAAGGGCTTAGGCGGTTGTGGAGGAGAGGAGAGAGGGCAGAAGCACGGGCGTTTAACCAATCGGAAAACAGCTTCATAAGAAATAAGTAACCACATTCCCGCTGGTTACCACCTTCGCCTCCGCAATCCCCGCCGTCTCCGCTATCCTTTCCTCCCCCTCCGCCTCCATCCCCCCCTCCTCCTCCGCCGCCCCCGCCGCCTCCGCTCCCCCTCCCGTCGCTACCCCCGCCGCCGTCTCCGCTCCGCCGTGCGGAAGCCTGCGCCTTGACTCGCGCACCAGGAGCAGCGGGTCGCGCGGTCTCCGCCAATCGCGACCTCCCCGCAAGCGACGGTCTTGCTGCTAGCCTTGTGTTCTGAGTCCTCACAAAAGCTTTTGGCAGCCTCGCGGAGATGACTCGAAACGGCCGAGCTGCTGCTGCTGCCGCTGCTGCTGCTGCTGCTGCTCTCCCTGTGTCTCTACCTGGTAAGGCGGCATGGTCAAAGCGACGCATTGTGTGCCCGTCATTCCCGAGGGCCGGGGCGCGCGGTGCAGCATGGCAGCAGGATCGCATTGCAGATTGCATTGCGGCGCATTCAAATGGCAGCGCACGATCGTGAGTGACACTCAATGAGGGGAATCGCCTGTAAGGCTAACTGTGGGGCAATATCTAGGATTAGGAAGCTGGAATAGTGGGAGGAGAGTGCAGTGCGGAGTGTCTAATATCTAGTGTTGTGGTGTGGTGGTGTAATGTGATCATCTGAAGGTGTTAGTCAGGCAGATAGGATGTGATGCGGCAAAAAGCACATGGAGATCAAGTTGGAATGTCCCTTCTGCGCGTGAAGGGGTAGGCTGGTAAAGCTCGGCGTTTGTATTGACCCCGATTGCAAGTACAGCACCGTGACGGTAGAGTACAGAACTAAGACATTGAGATATACGTAGAAGCCACTCTAATGAGCTAAACCAAATAGCAAAATCAACAAAACAAATATCACAAATGAGTAAAAATAACTCTAAAAAAATATTATTATCTTTCAAATGTAGCATACGGTTCTATTAAAAATCCAACGTAACAACAAAATGCTCATTTTATATGAAATAATAGGCATCTTGGTTTTTATTAATTATTTCAAATAAATATAGAACCCAGTCATGGGAGTAAATTTACAAGTATACCATATTACCTCACTAATTGGAAAGGGTTCAAATAGCATTCTAAATATAGATACTAATGGACAGCTTCTAAAGAGGTTCTGGTTCCTTGGGAGAATCCCTTTGTTAGCCACGTCAGCGTGCTGTCGGTGAGTGCGTGCACTCGCCTGGCAGGTGGGTGGAGGAATCGAGGCGGCCATTCAGAGCCGGCCATGCACCCTGCTCCTGCTCCCAACAAGCAAGCATCCAAACCAAACGACCACATTCACTGAACCGCGGAACAAGCAGCCTTCATTCAGCTCAGTGCCCGTTGCTTCTTTGTGAATTCGCCGCTGGCTTTATTTTCTCGTCCATTCCTCTGCTCCTCCGCCTCTTTCTGCTGTCGTGCGATTCACGTCGGTCCGCCTCGCACGCTGCCGAATCTGTTCTCGCTCCTAAGATAGGGCGTGTCGACGGCCGTACACTACTTGCTAGCCAGCATCGTGTTTCGGTTTTCCCTTTCACCCGAGTAGCTTGTCTCGTCCATAGCTCCCTCCATTCGCATCTATCGTTCAGTACCACACCCGGTTTTCCCGCGCTACACGTTATCCTCCGAATTCCTGACGTCTCTCAAACATGGCTCTCATTGGCGCTTCTTCCGCTCGCTTACCTCTTAGACATGCCACGTCAGCAATGAAACCGGCAACACCAGTAGCCTCAGCAGCAAAGGCTCTCAGGACCACCTTTTTCTCGCCTAGGCTTAATGCTTTCAGCGGCTCGAGGCGACTGATAGTTAGCGGCGGCAGCGGGTGCAGTCCTCGCGGGTCACGGAGAGCGCATGGGGTGGTTGATCGACGGACCAGTCGGGCCGTGGAGGCGTCGGTGTCGGCGCGTGATGCGACGGATGCGACGGATGCTGCGAGTGCAGCGATGGCAGATGCGACAGGACTAGGGAAGGCGGTTCGCGACGATTTCCCGATTCTGCATCAGGTAGTTCTCGAACGTGCAAAATACACTTCTACAACTTGGAATCACGTCATACACAATTCTTATGTTGATGAGATTACGCCGTATCTCTTGTCTCTCGCCAGGAACCGACAGTTCCAGCCGGCTAGCCTCTGATGTGTTGGATGGTGCAGCGACATTGTAGAAGCAACTGCGAGAGATTAATGCTACACTTCCTACAATTTTGCCACCACTATCTGTCTCCATGTCTGTCGTGCAACATGAGTTGCCAGGCGGCCATCAATTGGTGCATTTCGGCACGGCAGCGTCATGGCAGAAGCACCTGCAGGTGTTACCTCGCTTCTCAATTCATCCATCGCCTCGCCATCTCACATGTCTGTTGCGCTGCAGGAGGTGCCAGGTGGCCAGCAGTTGGTGTACCTAGACAAGGCAGCGACATTGCAGAAGCCACAGCATGGCGTTGATGCAACGCTGCTCTTTCCTTCTCTGCATATGCCGTGCGGCAGCAGGTCCCAGGAGGCCAGGCAATGGTGTATCTGGACAGTGCGGCGGCATCACAGAAGCACCTGCAGGTGTAACCTCGCTTCTCAACCTGTTTATCCATTCTGTCTCACATGTCTGTTGCGCTACAGGAGGTGCCAGGCGGCCAGCAGTTGGTGTACCTAGACAGTGCGGCGACGTCACAGAAGCCACTGCATGTGATCAACGCCATGGATGACTATTACCGCCGATACAATGCCAATGTGCACCGTGGTGTGCACTATCTCAGGTGAGCTTATAACGTGTATGTGACCTGCTGTGGTGCATGCGTCAACACCGCTGAGCACCTTTCTTAGATTGCCTTCACACGTTCTTTCTCCCAATCCCTGCTTAACCCCAGCTCTCCCCCCTCTCCCGCCCCGCCTCCTCTCTCCTCCGCACCACCACATTCTGGCCCCCACGTACCGTTCTTTCCGGCTTCCTCCTCCTTTCTTGCTCCCCCCCTTTAGCAGGACCCCACTGAAATTGTCTTCACATGCAACGCCAGCGAGGCAGTCAACTTGAACCCCCTTCCCTCTCCCCCCCCCAACTCCCCTTTGATACAGCATGCTGGCGACAGAGGAGTACGAGAAGGCACGGGAGAAGGTAGCTCGTTTCATCAACACGGCAGAGGGCCCCTCGGAGATCGTCTTCACGCGCAATGCCAGAGAGGCAATCAACCTGCATCCCCTTCCCCTCCCCCTCTCCTTCAACTCCCCCCTTCCCCAGCATGCTGGCAACAGAGGAGTACGAGAAGGCGCGGGAGAAGGTAGCTCGTTTCATCAACACGGCAGAGGGCCCCTCGGAGATCGTCTTCACGCGCAACGCCAGCGAGGCCATCAACCTGGTCGCATACTCCTGGGGCCTCTCCAACCTCGCCCCAGGCGACGAGGTTCTCCTCACAGTCGCCGAGCACCACAGCAACATCGTCCCCTGGCAGCTCGTAGCCCAGAAAACCGGGGCGGTTCTGAAGTTTGCCCCGCTGAAAGTGCCTGAGGAGTCGGAGAGGGAGGGGCATGCGGGGGGGGCGGAGGTGGACTATGAGCGGCTGCTGGAGATGATTGGGGGGAGGACGAAGCTGGTGGCGGTGCACCAGGTGTCCAACGTACTAGGTGAGTGACGAGCGATGGGTGTCAAGGGGTGCCAAGGGGTGCCGCTCCTCATTCGAGGGAGAACGTAGCTGGTGGCGGTGCATCGTGTGTCCAACGTGCTGGGTGAGTGATTGACCTGCTTTTGAGTCGACTCAAGAGCAGTCGGACAGGGAGGGGCATGGGGGGGCTTTTGAGTCGACTCAAAATGCAGGGAGGGAGGGGCGGAGGTGGACTATGAGCGGCTTCTACAGCTGATTGGGGGTAGGACGAAGCTGGTGGTGCCGGTGCATCGTGTGTCCAACGTGCTTGGTGAGTGACGAGTGATCCCTCAGACTCGGAGTTCCCTGTGGAGCAGAGAAGGAAGAGAGCACACGCAGTGGGAGCGAAAGTGCTTTTGGACGCATGCCAGTCCGTGCCGAACATTCCGGTAGATGTGCAGCCGCTGGGGGCCTTTGCATCCCGCCTTACTTGCATTCCTCCCCGCTTCCCATTCACCCCTCCTTCCCCCATTTTCAGGCTCAGAATCTCCAGTGGAGCTGATCCGTGAGAGAGCACATGCAGTGGGAGCAAAGGTGCTGCTAGACGCATGCCAGTCCGTGCCGCACATGCCGGTCGATGTGCAACAGCTGGGGGTTGACTTCGCTGCGGTCTCCTCCCACAAGATGTGTGGCCCCACGGGCATCGGGTTCCTCTATGGGCGATCGGACGTGCTCGCCTCGATGCCTCCCTGGATGGGTATGTGTCCGTTGTCCTGCCATGGCACATGCCGTCTCCTTGCACAAGATGTGTGACCCCACAGGGATTGGGTTCCTCTATGGCCGGTCCGACGTGCTCGCGTCCATGCCTCCTTGGATGGGTATGTGCGTCCTCCTCCCACATGTGTTCTTGCCATTGCCATGGGGTTTGGGTTGACTTCGCTGCCGTCTCCTCGCACAAGATGTGTGGCTCCACGGGCATCGGGTTCCTCTATGGGCGATCCGACGTGCTCGCCGCCATGCCTCCGTGGATGGGTAAGTGCGTCCTTTCGTGTATGTATGGGGGACTGCTTCCCCCCACAAGACGTGTGGCCCCACAGGCATCGGGTTCCTCTACAGGCGAGCTGACGTGCTCGCCTCCATGCCGCAGTGGATGGGTGCGTGTGTCCTTCTTCGCATATGTGCTGCTTCCAAGGGGTTTGGGTTGACTTTACTGCTGTCTCCTCGCACAAGATGTGTGGCCCCACGGGCATCAGGTTCCGCTATGGGCGATCCGACGTGCTCGCCTCGATGCCTCCGTGGATGGGTATGTGCGTCCGATCATGTCATGCATCGGTGAATTCTTCCTCCCACAAGATGTGTGACCCCGCGAGGTTCGGGTTCCGATGTGCTCGCCCCTATACCACCATTCATGGGTAAGTGCGCCTCCGCAGAGTCCTCGCTCGTAGTGGACGGGCAGCAGTAAAAAAAAAGCGTTAGAAGCCTGAGGAACCGAAATTAAAATACGTCGTTAACCGCTGAGAATGATCAGTAGCTTGAAAAGACCTTGCCTTCAGAAAGCTCCTCTATGAGTTTATTTCGGGCAAGTGCCTTCATGCCTCTTTGTATGCGCTTGTGCCCCTTGCCTCAGGTGATGGGTAAGTGCCCCCTCTGCTTTTGAGTCGATTTTAATGCCGAGGTTAAATGCCGAGGTTCCCACCACGACATGAGCATGCCTTGTTGAGCCAGTAATTATAGTTGCAGGGCTCTGCTTTTGAGGCTCCTCTAAAATAGACTTAGCTGTCAATCCCATTCTGCATGTCCCCCCTTTCCTGCTTTGCGCCGCCCCCTGTCTCTCTTTTTCAAGAATCTCTCACCCTTCTCTGTTCTGTTCTGTGCTTCATTTGCTCCCCTTTCCCCTGTTGTCGTTAGTCATGATCGAGACGAGCAGCAGCGTCCTCACCTTTCCCCCTCCCTCACCGACCCCTTTGGCGCCTATCTCACCTCTCCCCTCCCTCACCGACCCCTTTGGCGCCTATCTCACCTCTCCCCTCCCTCACCGACCCCTTTGGCGCCTATCTCACCTCTCCCCTCCCTCACCGACCCCTTTGGCGCCTATCTCACCTCTCCCCTCCCTCACCAACCCCTTTGGCGCCTATCTCACCTCTCCCCTCCCTCACCAACCCCTTTGGCGCCTATCTCACCTCTCCCTCCCTCACCGACCCCTTTGGCGCCTATCTCACCTCTCCCCTCCCTCACCGACCCCTTTGGCGCCTATCTCACCTCTCCCCTCCCTCACCGACCCCTTTGGCGCCTATCTCACCTCTCCCCTCCCTCACCAACCCCTTTGGCGCCTATCTCACCTCTCCCCTCCCTCACCGACCCCTTTGGCGCCTATCTCACCTCTCCCCTCCCTCACCGACCCGTTTGGCGCCTATCTCACCTCTCCCCTCCCTCACCGACCCGTTTGGCGCCTATCTCACCTCTCCCCTCCCTCACCGACCCCTTTGGCGCCTATCTCACCTCTCCCCTCCCTCACCGACCCCTTTGGCGCCTATCTCACTTCTCCCCTCCCTCACCGACCCCTTTGGCGCCTATCTCACCTCTCCCCTCCCTCACCGACCCCTTTGGCGCCTATCTCACCTCTCCCCTCCCTCACCGACCCCTTTGGCGCCTATCTCACCTCTCCCCTCCCTCACCAACCCCTTTGGCGCCTATCTCACCTCTCCCCTCCCTCACCGACCCCTTTGGCGCCTATCTCACCTCTCCCCTCCCTCACCGACCCGTTTGGCGCCTATCTCACCTCTCCCCTCCCTCACCGACCCCTTTGGCGCCTATCTCACCTCTCCCCTCCCTCACCGACCCGTTTGGCGCCTATCTCACCTCTCCCCTCCCTCACCGACCCCTTTGGCGCCTATCTCACCTCTCCCGTTCCCCCCTTTGGCGCCTATCTCACCTTTCCCTCCCCCACTCTAACCCCAAGCCCCTTCTAACCCCAACCCCCCTGGAAACCCAACCCCCCTCTCACCCCAAGCCCCTTCTAACCCCAACCCCCCTTTCATCCCTCACCCCGGTTCCTCCCTCAGGCGGAGTCGAGACGTGCTCCTGGACCACTCCACCTATTCAGACCCTTTCCAACCCCCCACTAACCCCCACCCCCCCACCCCCTCCCCCTCCCCCTCCCCACCCCGTTTCCTCCCTCAGGCGGGGGCGAGATGATTCAGGACGTGTTTCTGGACCACTCCACCTATTCAGACCCGCCTGCCAGGTATGCCGGTCCTGTCGTCACTTCTCAAGCTTGCTTGCGAACCCTCTAAGAGCTGTTCCGTTTTTAAGTCCACATGTGGAAAGCTAGCAGGATCGTGTACCGCCACAGATAGAAACACCAAACCATAAGGCAATAGGAATTCCGGAGAAAATACAGAAGAAAGGCAAGCAAGTAAACAAACAAGCAAGTTAGAGGGCCTTTTGACAGCCATCGCCGAGGCGATAGGGTTGGGAGCTGGATAGGGTAAAAGCAACAAATCTTACCTTCCCTCCCCCACCCTTGCTCCTCCTGGTTCAGTTTTGAGGCGCCTCAAAACTAGACTCCTATCACACATCTTACCTTCCCTCCCCCACCCTTGCTCCTCCAGATTTGAAGCTGGCACCCCAGCCATCGCCGAGGCGATAGGGTTGGGAGCAGCGGTGGACTACTTGACAGCCAAGGGCATGGATAACGTGCATAATTATGAGGTACGTGTGGCTATCAGAGGTATGAATGGCCATGGTGCATGGGTCAGTGGCTACGCGGTATGCATGGGCCACTCGTCAATTTGTGTTGTGTTTACGCATCACCCGATGGACACTTCTGTGGGGTATGCATGCATGTGAGGTATGGTCGAACGTTCATGCTACAGATGTGCACCTGTTCATCGGCGCCCCATTCTTGCCCTTCCCTTCCATTCTACCCGTGCAATTCCAGATGCATCTATCAGAGTATCTGTACAAGCAGCTCTCAGCCGTCGATCGGGTGCGCATCTACGGCCCTCCTCCACCGTCGCTGCTCCCAGGAGGCCCGTCCGCCCTCCACAGGGGCCGAGTGGCGGCTCTCTGCACGTTCAGCGTGGATGGCATGCACGCCACAGACGTGTCTTCCTTTCTCGATCAACAGGTGAGATGCACGAGCAGGCATGGTGAGGTGAGAGTGAGGCATGATAGTGCTGGGTCACACAGGGGGCGAGTGGTGGCTCTCTGCTCGTTCAGCATGGATAGCATGCATGCCACGGATGGGCCCTCGTTCCTCGACCAACAGGAAGGGTGGCTATGGTTCTTGGACCAACAGGTGGGATGCATGTGTGTGAGGTATTTTGGCATGCATGCCACTGTTGTGTCGTCTTTCCTGGACCAACAACATAGGGTACCTAAGAGTCGACTCATAACATGATCTCTGCACGTTCGGCGTGGATGGCATGCATGCCACGGATGTGTCTTCCTTCCTAGATCAACAGGCAGGATGCATGAGCAGGCTTCTCAAGGTGCGGCAGGCTTGCATTGTATGCTGGCAGCTTGCTGTGTCCAGATGGCAATCTGACCAGTTGCGTCCACTTTTAGAGTTCAGGGTTCAGGGTTTAAGGTTCCATTGAGAAGGTAGTGAAGGGTGCTCTTCTGAATTACCCTGAGGACTTCTTTATGGATCCCATCTTTACCCTCCCACATCACTGCCCATGCCACACTGCGTTGACACTCCTACACCTTTCCTTAATCCACACCATTTCGACCCTGTGTAATGAGTCGATTTTTGAGTCGACTAAAAAATGCCGCTTTCTTTCTTCATCCCGTTTCCTCCCCTTCTATTCCCCACCCCCCCACCCTATTCCTTTTGCTCTCGTCTTCTCAGCATGGAGTGGGCATCTGCTGCAGGCACCACTGTGTGCAGCCCATTCATCAAAGTCCCCCTCCCTCTCTCCTTCTCGTCCCTCATTACCCGTACTTGCCAGCACGGAGTGGGCATCCCCAGCAGGCACCAGTGTGCGCAGCCCAATAGTTAAAGCCCAGTGTGCACACCACTGTACCCCCTTTCTTTCTCCTTCTCGCCCCTCATTCCCGTCCTTTCCAGCACGGAGTGGGCATCCGCAGTGGACACCACTGTGCGCAGCCCATTCACCAAGGGATCGGCATCAATGCGAGCGCACGGGCGAGTGCATACATCTACAACACCACGGAGGAGATCGATGCGTTCATTGTTGGACTCAAGGACACCATTGACTTTTTCGTCAACTTCTCGTGATCAATGCTAGTACCATTACTACAATCATATTTGAAGAATGTGTTACAATACTTGTAATGCATGACGTCATCTTGAATACACAATGAAAAAGGGAGATTGTTATATATTTATAATACATACAATGAATGAGGTCTATCTCGCCCAAAGCAGCAAATGGGGTCCCTCACACCAATTCTAACACGCAAACCGAAACCAAGCTCAAAAGCTTCGCAAGCGTCTACATAGCCACTACAATCCAGCCTATACCCGCAAGGAGATAACAACCATGATCCCATCTCTCTTTCTGAACCCTACAACGTCTCTCCCAACTTTCTTCGAGCGATCCACGTTCTCTTCCTTCTACTTCTCACAAATTCCACCACCTCACTCCTCGTCCTCACTTCCCTCCCAACCTCTCTCATCGTCCCTGTCGTCTTCACTCTCCATGCCATACTCGTGCTCTATGTCGCCATCCTCCCCCCTGCTGTCTTCCTCTGACAGCTCCCAGTCTTCCTTATTTACCCCGTCTTCGTCACGACTCCCCTCTTCCACATCCCTCCTCTCTTCCTCATCCCTCCCTCGTTCCTCCCTCCCCTCTTCCTCCGTCCCTGCTTCCTCATCCCTCCTCTCTTCCTCACCCCCCCCCCCCTTCCTCCCTCCCCTCTTCCTCCATCCCTGCTTCCTCATCCCTCCTCTCTTCCCCTTCCACTTCCTCTTCCCCTTCCTCTCCATCAACCTCCCCCTCCTCCACTTCCTGTCCCTCGTCGCCCGATTCCCCCCCTCCCTCCACTCCATTCACCACGGCTCCCTGATCAGGAACCACCTGAGTGCCTCCCCGCGAGAGCAAAGGACACCCACTGATATCGCATTCACGCAGCGTCGCCATTTCGCGGAGAGAAGACGGCAACCGAGCCAGCTGCTTGCAGGCGCTCACCTGCAGCACCTGCAGCCGAGGCAGCTGAGTGAACGGCTTAGGCAAGCAGCGCACATGCTTCAGCCCCAAGAGCACCAGTTCCCGGAGAGAATAAAGCTTCCAAAAATCATCCGGAAAGGACGAAACGCCGAGCTTGACAAGAGTGCACGACTGCAGCTTGGACAGGCTCGGAAAGGACTCAGGGAGTCGCATTAGGGATGGGCACGGGGCGAGTCGAGTAAAATTTGCATCGAGCAATTATGACCCGCCTCCCTTTATTGGCGAGTCGAGCAATACTTGAGTCGAGCTTTTTTCTCAAGGGCCCGACTCGTTTACTCGTTTTTTAGGCGAGTAATTTTTTTACTCGGGGCGAGTACTTTTTGCTCGCCCTAAGGCAAGCATTACTCGACTCGGGCCATTTTGCCCCCACTTCCCTTACACTCACATTCTTGGAGGGGTGTTTTTAGGGGGCCAGAGTTGTAAGTCCAGCCATGCATGGCATGTCATGCACGTTTTGAGTGTGAACAAGGGCAATGAGGTTGTGACGGGTACCTAAAACCTTTTTTGCTAAGGTCTGCCCTTGAGGTTTGTGTCCAATCACCACGTCCCGTGACCACCACGTGCTGGCAGGTTGGGTCAGGTGCTGCAGAAGGGACAAAGCCTTCTCCGTTCCTTGGCTGGACGGAGAATGCATGTGTGCACTAGATCAATAATTGCAGCAACTCTAGTGCAAGTTTATGCTACGGCGTCCTAAAGCGATCACATTTGTTATGATAAGTTACCGCTGTCACAGGGGGCATAAATAATCCACCAAAGACAGTTACTGATCAAGTCAGGGAGAGAGATGACATCTAGGGCGAGCAAGGGCTTGTCAATTGTCGGGGAAAGGGCGAGGCAAGGGCAGCTAGGCATGGAGAAACAAGAGCAAACAAGTCATAGTGAAACAGGAGGTCGAGGGCAAGCAAGGGCAGCAAAGACTGCCATGCAAGCATGGGGAGAGAGAGTGGCATGTTCAGAAGGTATAATGGAAACCTAGGCGGCTAGCGTGATGGTGCATTGAGGACAGATATGCTGAGGCAAGTCAAGCAAGTCCCCGACGTCGCCTCTATCACAGCCCCTCCTCCACCTCCACCCCCAAGTCCTCCTCCACCTCCTCATCCCCAGTGACCGGCGCGTTGGCGAGCCGCTCGCCGGGGTGCGACGCAATCCATGACTTCAAAGTGATGTAAGCGCGCACACGCTCGGCCCCAAGACGATGCCGCTTCCATGTGATAAGGTTGCGGCTCTGAGAGAAGACTCTCTCGCTTGCCGCCGACGTGGTGGGTATGGCAAGGTAATCCCTGGCCATCGCCTGCAGTCCGGGAAGGTCCGACCTGCGGCGCCAGTAGGCAAGGGGCGATGCCCAGATCGGCTCCAGCGGCTCATCCACATACAGCTGTATCTCGTCCTTGACCTGGGAGGATTGCTGGCTGCGGAGCTGTGCGAGCTGGGCAACCAAACTGATTGTGACACGACCTCAGAGGAGTGTGCAGTGCAATTGTCATAGCAAATCATAGCTCCATAATACAGCACACTAGACAGGGCAAATACATGGCAAGAGAACAAGGGTGAGCAGGCCATGCTAGTTATCAAAGCGAGGGAGGACAGGGTGGGCAAGTTGGAACAGAAAATGCAAATGAGACTAGGTGGCAGGTCTGAAAGTACTGCCGATAGATGAAGGAGTTTGTCTCCTTCACAACAAACTCCTCTTCTAGTTGAATCACAATCTGTAAATTTTTTATTACAATTTTTTTGCTCATTTATCGTCGTCATCCCCCCCGAACGCTGAGCCGAAACGGCCGGGGACATCGTCACCTCCATCCCCTCCCATCCTCCCCATCCCACCACCCCTCACGACCTCGGCGTTCCCCGCTGCCTCACGGACCTTGATCATGTAGGGCAGCCACTTACCGCACACCAGATCTAGCACATCAGCCTCCTGCACCTGGTCAACAACAGAGGTGACGAGGGAGCCACGCGGGAGGCTGAAGTAGCCCAGCTTCATGGACGGGTCCAGAAGCGTCGCGATGCAGAGCTCATCGCTGCTGCTGCAGTAGTACTCCTGCAGCTTGGGCAGAGCCGCACCGATGCATGCAATGATGAGGGGGGGGGGGGGAGGGGGTTGGCGGGGTCCTGCTGCAGCTTGTCCAACCTGCCCATGATTTCGTTGAACTGTGGCACCACCTGGCTGACGGTAGGCTACTGGGACCCTTCGGCGGCCAGAGTCACGGCGTTGAATGGCTTGAGGAAATCAGCGAGTACCTCAAGCGTCCGCCACTGCTCAGGGGTGAGGCGTAGTTCCGCAAGGCGTCTCGTCTCGCGGGTAGTGGACTGCAGGGTGTGTCGTGCAATTGGTGGGGGCGGGGTGGGCGCCAATGTGGCGATCCAATGGAGTGTGTCACACTTGTGGGGCTGCGTGTATGGCTGCATGTATGGCTGCATGTATGGCTGCATGTATGGGTGCATGTCTGGCTACGTGTATGGCTGCGTGTATGGCTGCATACAGCTACATGTATGGCATCTGAAAAGGCCGGCGGAAGCCAGCCTCACACTTGCTAAAGAACAGCAAAGGCACCGCGAAGGAAGGCTAGTGAACTTGCCCAAAGGGGAGGAGGCTCACCCCAACGGCGCGGCGGAAGAAGGCATCCAGTGCCTCTCGGAGACGAAGGCCACGCGTGATCATGTTGAAGGTCGACCCCCAACGCACATCCATGTCCTGTCATAGCTTAAGGACCGGCTGTGTAGGATATTGTTGGCACTGCTCCTCCTCGAACTGCAGCACCTTCTGGGGCCTGAACCCGATGAAGGTCGCGCATTCGCGCAGAATACCTAGCGGTTCCTTCACCTCCTCAACCCCCCGCAATACCTGCTGTACTGCGAGATTGCAGATATGCGCGAGGCAACTTAGGAGGGAGGGAAGGGAGAGAGGGGGAATGGAATCTGGGCGGCTAAGGGCCGGGACGGGACCATGTGCTTATTGGTACCCAAGCATGTCGCAGCAGATGGGATTAGGTTGGGCAGGCAGCATGACTTAAAACCTTACCGGATGTGCATGCCAGTGGTGAAAAGGCAAGGGAACCTGTCGCCAGGGCCTTGCCTCGACAACCACTGCATTGCAGCAATGTTCGTGGAGGTGTTGTCCGTGGTGACCGCCATGCAACGGCCGACCAGCTCCCAATCCAGAACCACTTCCTCTAGCACTGCCGCCACGGCGGTGGCAGTATGCCTGGCTGGAAGCGCGGCGAACTCAAGCGTAGCCTGCCTGAGTTCGAACGCAACGGTCAGCCAATTGCCGGTGACCGTCATGTACCCGCGATGGTTCTCGCCCGACCAGATGTCGGTGGTGAAGGACATCGCTAGCCCACCTGCGGCAATGCCACCCCCAGCTTACTCATGGCGCGGGCTGCACGGGACATGCGGACAAGGCCCCGTGTCATGGCACCGCGCGATGGGATCACACAAGGTGCCCCACACTGGACGTTGGAGGCAGTCATCATGCGGCGGTACTGGTTTGGTGGGGGCAAGGCAGCAAGGGGTCGCGGGTGATGGGGTTGACCTATTGCTTCACCAAGGTACCAATACGGGGTTTAGCATGTGCTTTGCAGCGTGACAAGGTGGGCGCACACAAGAGGCATGCAACAAGGGCAGAGTGGTGGGGTTGGGTGGTGGGCTTACGGTCGGCCGGTCTACTATACTCAAAGCCAGATCCGCGTCGATGATGAACTCAATTATCGTCTGCCGCAAGTAGCTCTGGTCGAGGCGAGCCTGCATGTAGTGCGTCATGCTCTGCTGACCTCCCTGCCCTGACTCAGAAGGAGGGAGCAGTGGCCACTAGCCATGGCCATCCCATGCCAGCTTCCCGTCGGGGATCTCCCCAGCGTCCCCGTTCCCGCCCTCGGGGAATAGATTGTCAGGCCCCAGCTCCCCTCCCTTCCACCTACGCCCCCCGGTGGTGCAAGTGTTTGCGCTGCATGTGCGAACAGCCGGTCGACGTGTTGCTGCCAGCAAAGGAGAGGGCTTTCCCGCACCTCCGACAACGCCTCTTATTCCCCCACTCGGGCACCACATCGTAGCACTTGGTGACCGGGATGTCATCATCATCGGCCGTCTTCGCCCCTTTCTTCTTTCCCGCTGCCGCCTTGCCCGTGGTATTCAAAGTGGGCTTTCCACTCCTCCCCCTCCACAAACCCACCTATCCTC